TTTCATGAGAACCCACTTTGAAGATATCAATATGTAATACAACAAGCATTGTTAATTTCCTACCACTTTGTTTGTAACTCTGTATTGTTTGTACTGTTCTTTTGCTATTTGGTAAAAGGTTGTCTGTTAGTTTTCCTCCTTTTATTTTTAAAATAAAAAAAAAAACTTGAAGAACTCCCTTGCCTTTTTCTTCCTATGACCTCGACATTTTTATATATTTTTAAAATTTTATTTAGTCTTTTTGAGACAGGGTCTCGCGATGCAGTTCAGGCTGGCCTTGAGTTCACTTGGTAGTCCAGGCTGGCCTTGAACTCCCAATGATCCTCCTGCCTCAGCCTCCCGAGTCCTGGGATTACAGGCGGGCACCACCACGCCCGGGCAACATGGACGCTTTTAAAGGACCCAAGACAACTGTTTTACAGAATTTCCCTGAAGTGGAATGAGTCTGAAAGTTTCCATACGAGCTCGGATTAAACATTTTGGGCAAGAATACTACTCAGACAAGCTGGGCCCTTCTCGGTGCATCATGCCAGGAAATACCAAACGAGTCGGCTTCCTTAGCGGTGATGCCAAGGTGTTCTTGTTGTTCTTAGTTTGGGTGGTGACTGCAAGATTCCTCTATGGTAATCATGGCCTTTGGCCTTTTTCTCTTTTTAGGTAATAATCTGGGGAGTGTTCTCTGAGGCGTCTTAGATATCAGGTTTCTCTGATTGTCTTTTACCCAAAATTGTAGCATCCACCCAAAATGTCTGCCTGGTATTGTCACTCTTTTGACATACTGCACCCATGTGATCAACCACCACTACCAACTGTATTCCAAGGAGTGTTGGAGCCAGCTGTGATTTCAACTGCAGCAGCACACGACAGCTGGTAACGCTGGCTTGGGACCCAGGCAATCGTGTTTTTAATTCTCCAAGGTGATTGATTCTGATGTAGCGTAAGCATTTAGGTTCTGGGTTCGAGGAAAACTTCCAACACCCTCATCTTACAAAAAAGGAAACCAAGTTCAAAAACGACAATGGCAAGAGACTTGTTAATGACAAAGATCCCACTTTCCATGCACTTGCATTTTAATCCGTCATCTCTTCCCAGAAAAAATAACTTCTGTACGCTGTTAGAAGCGACCACCGCCTAAAGTGCGCTGCCACATGTCCATATTCCTACTTTCTTCCATCACCAGACTTTGGTGGTCACGGTGGGAGGAGGCGTTTGGTCACCAGGTTCTCCGCCCTTAGGACTCAATGCGACAGCGCATGTCTGGGGCTCAACGCCTGGCCGGACATTCAAGGGGTCTGACAGGCAGAGGTGCAGCCCCGCAGACACCCTCTGCAGGCAGCAGGCCACACCTGGCAGGGAGGGACACACCTGGCGGGCCCACCTGGGGACAGGCTACTGCCCCACCCAGGTCACCCAGGGCCAGCGCGCTGGAGACAAGGCGCTGCAAGCCCGGCCACGTCCCCACTTACCCCAGCATGATACACTTTATTCGCCCTTTTAATCTTGATATCCAGAGAGGTCCCCATCTCCGATTTTCTGCAGCAGCCGCCACTTCCGGTCGCACGTGACCCGAAAGGAAGAAGGGCCACCCCGCCCCCTGCCCATTTCCCGCATCCCCGGCAGTGGCGTCACGTGACCCCCACCCCGCGGCGGCGCGCTCCTCCGACCGGAAATGGCGTAACCACACACCTCCCCTTTTCCGGCGCAGGGGTTTGCCTTGGCGCGGGCTCAGGGCTCGCATCCTTGCCCCACCCACGCCAGGCGTGAAGCGTGGGGCAGAGTTATCCCCACCCCCAGGAAAGGCAGTCTGACGTCGGAGACACCCTCCTCCGTCCTCGGCCTGGAGGGGGAACTCGCGCCTCTCCCGGCATGTCCCGCGGCAGGACAGGGGGCGGGGCCAAAGCCGTCCTGCGGGCGCGACCGGCGGAGGGACCTGAGGTCCCGTGAGGCTGTGCGGCGCAGCGGTGCTGCGCCATGGAGGCGGCTCTCGGGCAGTTACGAGTTTGAATTCGTTTTTTCATCACATCTGTTTCCTCTTTTCATCGCTAACCTCCTACTTCTTCCCTGCGGTCCTGAGAGCCGGCGCCCTCCTTCCCCTCCCCCACAGGAGCGTCCCAGTCGCCCGCAGGGGCGCGGCCCCGCGCTCGCGCCTGCCGAGCGCTGATTGGCTGGCGGCCGGCTGCCCCGCCCCCGCCCCCGGCGGGCCAAGGTCTCGGGAAGCGCGGGGTGACCTCGCTCTGCCTTCAGCCGCGGCGCTGGGTCACCCGCCTGCCCGGCCCCGGGCGCGGGGGCTTGTGGGTATTCCCCAGGCGCGTGTCCTGGAAGCGGGTGCTGAGTCCTCAGTCGTGTGCTCGGCGTCCCCTGCGCCGGGGCGGGGGAGGGCTGCAGGCTGGGGCCGGGAGATTGGTTGGAAATGCGAGATTGCGGCGCCGAAACGGACCTGCCTGTTGTTTTTTATTCCCAGCGACGACTGACTCAAGTAGACACAAAATTTTAGATATTTATTGCCGGGGAGTGTTGCGTCCGGCCAGGCCAAGCTGTACCGTGTCAGGCATCGTGCCGCGTGTGTGGAAATACAGCCTTATGAATGTTTATTGAAATATGGACTTTGCCAGTAAACAAATTTCATTACTTTGATAACATTGAAACAGTGAGGAAATGCTTCTTGATTTCTTCAGATTGCTTAATTCTGGATATCATCAAATCGAAATGCTTTTCGATTTTTTTTTCAGATTCCTTCAATCTGTTCTTTTTTTTTTTTTAAAGTGCGTTACTTTTAGGATAACATGAAATTTTCTGTGAAACAGTTTCAGGAATTAGTATCGCGAATGCCTCCTTGAAAATTTAAAGTGTTTCAATAGGTCCTCAGAGATGATACGAGGATCAAAACTAGGTCGCACTGACGCCAGGCGAGAGCTCTACCACGGAGCAACGGCCCCAGTCCTGTGCAGCTGCTTTTGAAGATTTAAAAAGTATGTTTCCCAATATTCAGGACTCAGTTTTCAGCTCCTCCCCACCCTTAGGGCTTCCCTCTCTGCCCTGAAGATCTTCCTGCCAGCTCAAAACAGCAATTCTAACACATTTTTAGGGGCTGAATAATCACAGAAGAGATTCCTTTCGATTCAAAAAGTGGATGCCTCTTCCCGAGACTCCCCCACTATTTTCCACCGTTAAGAAAGATCAATCACAGTAGATGATGCAGGGGACCAGGAAAAGAAACGCCTTAGGTGGATCCCCTAGGCTCGTTTGTGTCAGTGAACCTGATTTATTCTCTTTCAATAGACTGCTCTTGTTCTGGGAGGACAGGCGTACCTATCTTGTCTGTCTGCCTAGGTTGTACACAGTCCTTATGGAAGTCTGGCGCGGTGTGGAGAACCCTCCTCCCAGCAGTTAGGAGTGTGACCTGTTGAGCCCTCCGCCTGTGCTGGCTTTCAGACACGAAATAGCCCGTTTTCCTCCAATCGCTACTTTTTTAATCTTTCCATTTCTTGATCTCACCCTAGGTGGTACTCTCTTTTGATCAATTTCAGTTATTAAAAATCGAACTACGTCCAAGTGTCCGTCTCATTGCTTGAGTGGGACCCTGGGCCCTCCCTGGTGGCGGGAAGGTGTGAGTGTTCCTGGGCTCAGACGTCCTTGTTGGAGGCCTGGCTTCTGTTGAGTGAAGAAAAGAGGAAATGAGGGAAGTGTCTCTTTAACTGTCGCTGCTGATGTGCTCTTAGTTGCTCCTTATGGATCTGGACAACTGGCTCTTGAAACTTCCCTTGCGTGTCCCTGAGGGAAAGGCCTGCTGGGGCCCTCTCCCCTCTGGATGGACAGTTGCTTGGAAAATCTGTCTCCAGTTGGATCCTTTCCGTCACCCGCAGCCAGCACCCAGCGCGTGCCTATCTCACTGAGGTTCCAGCCAGCCAAAGACCCCTTCCATAGAGTCCTGTTGAACCCTCCGTGCACGTCGCGGCCACATGGACTGCTGGACCAGAAGCTGCTGTGTGGATACTGTACCACCCCCGCCTTTTATGTTCTTTTCCCTCCTGAAATACAGATTGGGATTAATCAGCAAGAACGTTGATGAGAGATCTGCAGGTGATATGTGCCATAGCAGCCTCCCCTTCCCTAGACCCTAGTGATACCAGGGAGAGTGCATCGTGCAGTCTCCCCACTATGTCACTGCCCACCAGAAACACACCCCCTCCCCCGGCCAAACCACAAGGTTCACTGCCACCCCTCAGTCCTCCCCTGCCTTCCTGGATAGCCTGGGAGGAGAAGATAGGGAAGGTGATGGATATGGAGCTTGACTCACAGCTTTCTGTTAAGCACTGGGAAAGTAGCCCCCTTGGAGGTGTCTTTCATTGGAAAATGGGGAATTATGCCTGTAGCAGTCACTTACAAGCCTAGTAATCAACTCCGGGTCAACACAAGCTCCACTAAGCATTTTAAAGTAGCAGCTGTGGTTCTCTGTCTGGACCCTCTCCTTCAGGAATGAAGGACGTGTTTCCTGAGTGCCTAGGAATTCCCAACTTCCAGCTAAATCACTCCAGAACTTGCCCTAAGCTGACCGTAGTCTTACTCAAGGTCATGCTCACTCCTTGAAGATAACTCATGTCTAATAACTAATTGACTTTGGCTACCCCTACCGCTGCCTGCCCCAGTCCAGGACAATGCCAAAGGACCTTCCAGCTCTAAAGCTTTCTGTATTAGTTATCAATTGCTGTGTGACATTCCGAACATCTTAACAGGGGTTAGGATTTGAATTTGTCAGGAACACCATTCCAACCTAGAATATGTAACAATAAAATACATACAACAAAACATTACACCTAGGAAGATAAATGGCCTAGTCCAGGCATGGTGACTCATGCCTGTAATCCCAGCACTTGGGAGGCTGAGGCAAGAGGATTGCTGCAAGTTAGAGAACAGCCTGGGCTACAAAGTGAGTCAAACTCAGCCTGAACTGCATAGTGAAACCTGATCTCAAAAAGATAAATGGACGGAGACAGTTGGTGAGAGATTTAACAGTTTATCAAAGATTGGGTAAAAAAGCATTTTAACAAAATAAGAGGTGTACTAGTAAATAAGAGTAGCAGGGAATTCATGTTTCAACTGTCTATAGTACTTATGTAAACACAACACTTATGAATTATGCTCTGTCCTCATGGGAGATTGAAGGGAGCTGGATGTGGTAGAGTACACCTGTAATCCCAGCACTCGGGAGGTTGAGGCAGATAGATCAATGTGACTTGGAAGCCAGCCTGAACTACACAGTGAAACCTTGTCTCAGGAAAAAAAAAAAAAAAAAGATTGCAGGAAGCTAATGAAACTCTCTCCTCCCCTTCCCTCTGAGTTGGGATATCATGATGTCTCTCCCAGAGGTCACAGTATTCAAGGCATCTTCTTGGAAGCACAGCCAGCCCATCACCAGACATCAAACCAGCTGATGCCTTAATCCTGGACTTCTTAACCTCCAGAACAAAGAGGAATAAATGTATGTTTTTAAATAAATAGCCGAGTCTGTGGCATTTTGTTATATGAGCACAAGCAACCGCATCTTAAGTCACAAATCTCAAATCCACTAAAGTATGTTCCATGTACTTTCACAAAACTTTAACCATTTGGCGATAAAACATATGTTTCCAAGTATGTCAGGATAAGAAACAAATAAAAATATAATAACATTAAAAATAACATGTGAGCCAGGAATGGTGGTGCTAATCCGTAATCCCAGCACTTGGGAAGCTGAGGCAGGAGGATCGCCATGAGTTTGAGGCCAACTTGGGCTACACAAGTGAGTTCAAGGCCAGCTTGAATTACATAGTGAGATCCTGTGTCAAAAAAAAAAAAAAAGTGTGACTGCTGTAGACCAAAACCCATGATACAACCAAAGAAAAGATCTTTCTGAAAAATTACTAGAAAAGTTCAAAAATTTGGCCAGAATAAAATGACAACTGGGCTTTGCTTCCAAGTAATTCCGGGGGAGGAAGAAGAGAAGTGGTGCAGGAAGAATTTTGGGTGGAGCCACGCTGGCAGACACCTCGTTCTGAACGCAGGCTGCTCTCTCCATCCCGGACTCCTTCCGGGGGAAGGTGAGGAGCATGGGGATGTGAAAAGTGAATTCTGAGATGCTCTTAACTGAGTTCTATGGCAGCACTGTGGCTGACACCTTCCCTCTCAGCAGAGTGACTCCTGGAGGATTAACTGGGCTAATTTATAGAGAGATGAAGACCGTTGCTTTTTTGGCCATTTATTTTGTGCTTGTAAATTTTAAAACAGCTCCACATACAAAAACCAATAGAGTTTTCTACATACAGCAGTAACCAGTTAGAAAGGGAAGATGGCAAGTGGAGTTTCGGTGGCAATAAAATATAAAATATTTGGAGTAATTTGAATGTGATATATGTTCGATTATATGAATAAAACTGTAACGCTGAATTAAGAAACATGAAAAGATACATTTATAGTATTTCTGAATAGGAAATCTAAACATTTTTAAATGTCAAGTTATAAAATCAATTTTTAGCTCTAACTATTGGGTTTCAATGTCCTACGATAATTTCCATGAGAACATTTAATGAAATAATGTTAAAATTCTGCGAAAATAAAGCAATGGCCAGGTGTGGTGGCACACACCTGTAATCCCAGCACTTGGG